AGAGAGAAGAAAGAGGGGGGGGGGGCGAAGAGAGAGAGAGAGGGAGAGAGAGAGAGAGAGAGAGAGAGAGAGAGAGAGAGAGAGAGAGAGAGAGAAGTTGAACTTCACAACGGGGGCGCAACGAAAGACAAGAACTACAAAGGCGGCGCCGAGCCGCGGCTGCGGCAAAGAGCGCTTTGAGGGTGTGACGAATCTCACCTTCCGGAGTACATGGCATTTTAAACATACCGTACGAGATAAGACAAGTCTAGCGCGAAAAAAAAAAAGGAGCTGGACGTCAACACAGCATAAAAACCCCTGTTCTCTTGCAAAAAACGACAAATGTCGCGGGAAATTGTTTGGCGCAAGATGCCCAAGAGAAGAGCGGGCCCGTGCTCTCACCAAAACACACGACATGGCGGGGCTTGTCCAGCTCGAAAAATTCCTACAACACCTATGCATGCATGCATACCATGATCCAACATGTTTGCTTGTTAGGTATGCACAAGCAACCTCGGAGGGAACCTCAAAATCTAAGCACAACGTCAGATCTTGACACGGGGACAAACTGCCACCAAAACAAACCAAGCCCAAGATCTCAGGACTGCACCCATCCCCTACCCCTCCCCCCTTCCAGTTCCAGCCAACGGACCGCCCACCTCTAATATTCGATCCTCCCGCGTAGAATCGTTCGACCTCCCGAAAGCGCCTCTCCCGCCCCCCGCGAATCCTTTCAACACCCGGGCCTTGATGCTGTCACTGGTACCCAGCCCCCCGCCCCCTGCCGTTGCACCGCCTTCCCCGCCAACCGCCGCGTTCTCGCCGTCCCCTGCGGAAGCGCCCCCGCTCAAGCGCGCGCTAGCCCCCGCCGCGTTCGGCATGATTTTTCGAAACCCTCTCACCGACGGCCCCGTTGTTGTTCTCCCGTTCTCCTGCCACGGCCTATCGCTGCTGTGCCCTCTATCGAAGCTCCCGCTGCGGGCGCTGCTCCCCCCCCCCCCTTCTCCGGGGGCCGATGTTCGTCTCCCGCCGTTAGCGGCACCGCCGTTTCCGCTCCCCCCCCCCCCCGAGGAAGGGAGCCCTGATAATAATTTTGCCGATGCCCCCAGATTTCCCGCTGGAAGAACCTTCCGCGGGCGAGTAGGAGCCGGCTGCTAACGGCGCGGCGGAGGCGGCGCAAGTATTTCCCGCGGCCGCTGCCCCAGCAGCAGCCCCTGGAGCCCCGAGGCTTCTTAGAGCCGTCTCGCCTTGACGCTGCCGGTTTTAATCTCTCCAGTCGGATCTTCGCCCAAAAAAAAAAAACAGGGAAGCAACGATTGCTTGTTGGGACAAGTGGCCGGAGGCTTAACATGTCGAGAATCGCAACGGCAAATCTACTACAATAATAAAGTACAGATTTCAGCAGTCTTTGTTATACTTGTACTTCATGACTTAAAAGGTCGGGGCGTGCCCCTGTGGCTTGGTGCGCAACCCTGGTGATGGACAGTTTCGTCAGGGCCGAGAAATCGAAGGCAACCCAGCCCACGACAGCTTTTGAGCACAGCGGTCACAATATAGCAACGGGTGTCTGTTTCGTCTGCCACAGAACGAGAACAGGCCGCTGCTTGCACTCTTCCTCATAACAAGCACATGCCACCAATCGTGCACAACTTCGAGAACGAGAACAGGTCAGTGCACTCGTCCCCGCCACAAACATGCCTCCATACAAGTGGCGTGGCCTGTGGCGGCGCGCTCACGTTCCGGCACCGGACCCTGACACCACCAAAATTATTTCTTCCCAACAACAAAAATCGCGCCTGCGCAATACCACAGCAACAGACCGGCAACAAACGGTGGAGTGTTCGGCCACGCACTGAAACCGCCACGAGAACCAAACAGACAATAGGACCCCCCCCCCCCCGTATGCTACCTATGATACTTGCTTGACCCCCACCCACCTCCGCTAAACTTCTGTCCGACCCCGCCGAGGCCCCCCTGCTAGTGCTGGGCGGCAGTGGCGGCATGAACGCCGGGATGTGAGGTGGTCGCGATCTTGGCCCTGGTGGATGCGGCCGTGCGAAACACGAGAAACGATGGGCACCCGCGGAGGGGACGGGCGGTGGGGTTGGGGGTGGGGGTGGGTACTCATACTCATGTTTTGCATGTCTTAGCTGTTGACCATTGACCACCCGTCCTCCAAAAGACGGAACAATATTGCCATAGAACCGATCACCGGTGGCTAATCAGGGGGGGACACAGAAGCGACAAGTGGTGAGGTGAGAGAGCAAGAACCAGCCCGTCTTGCCTTGGCTCTCTGGGTTGCCAGGTAACTCCGGCCCTGTCTATCGGAGCCAACATCTACTGCTGCTCTCGATCAATCACACACACACGCAAAATAATGGAAACTTGCCGCATTCACCACAAGAAGCTCGTGCGTATTGTTGTCCACTTTGTTCTACCTGAAATCATTTTGTTTGGTTGCTGGGTAGACGTACGCATGGATTGACATCACGCTTCGGCCCCAGCGCAACTACGATGGCAACTGTCTTCAATCAATCGCACTTGCTTGAGCCCCGGGTTCATGCAAATGACACACATGGTCAATGTTTCACGAAAGCTTTGTTTGAACATAATCGCCGCAGAAGGTGACTTCCACCCCCACATGGTAAAACATGAAAAAAAAAAGACACCAAAGCACCCAGCAAACTCTACCTCCCCTCCCTCCCGGCCACTACAAACGCCTTCCAGTTATACACGGCACCCCCCCCCCCCCTCGGGTCCCTAAAAACACCGTCTATGTTTCGCTTCGCACCCTCTGTTGCGCCCTCTTCTCCCTCCTCCGCGTCGTCCAAGGGGGCGGCGCGTTTTCTCGGCATCGGGAACGGGGGCACCGCGTGATGGAACGGCTGGTCCCACCGCTTTGGCAACTCTTGCCGCCCGCCTCCCGCCGCCCTAGCCCCCCCCGACCCATTAGCGGCGGGGGCGGCGCTGCGGCTACCGCTGGAGGCCGCGTTTTCGTAACGGTTCGAGTAACCGTCCTCGCTGAAGGCGAAATCTCGGAGCTCCGTCCAGCTCAGCGGCGTTCGCTACGGTGTGGGCGAAAGGGAGATAGATATGTGGCTGGGGTAGGTTAAAATCGTCTGCGGCTAGCCTAATGCGGAGTAGTTGAACAGGGACCGCTACTATCTACGGACACACTAAGTCCACCCAAACTGTTTCGAGCCATACAGAATTGGCCAGAATAAAGACGCTAATGCCTGGATTGTGCTACACTTAGTCCGTTCTCCGCTTCTAGCATGGCCGTCGTCTTCCCGCTAGGACCAAAGTGTGTCCCGCAAGAGAGCGGGGTCAGAGCGCTGACCTGACACGTCTTGTTCCGCTATCCCTGGTCTAGTAGCAACGTACCTCTTTTCAAAGTACGACCGGGGGTATCTGGCCGACGAAATTTCGGAACAACTCCTCGGGTACACAAAGGAGGCGTTGTCGCCGGGAGGGTCGCAATGTTTCTTGCGTCTCCGACATTCGCGGCCAAAGACACAAGAGATGCTTGACACAAAAGCCGAAAACGCTCAAGAAATGTGATTTCTCCATCCTCATTTTTCTCTCCCGGTCGTGCCACCAACGCACACGTCACGTGCTCTTGCTCCAACTCTACTCGTGCTCACCATTTGCTGGAATCCTTGCAAAACGTCCGGTATGTTGGGCTCGGTCCGACCAGATCGGTAGGTGTTCTCCATTGTACGTTTCGCCATGGTCTCCACATATCGCTGGACCTGAGCATGCCCAATACCGCCGGTTCTTCCACATTTTAGAAAGCATATACGCCACGAGAAATCACAGCCCCCCAACGTCACACCGGATGCTACAGGAGTGTTTTCTAACGCTCCCAAGTATCATCGGAGGGGGGGGTTCCCATGGTCAATCTGCGGCGACCGCTTGGTCGGTGTTCTGTCCTTTTCTTGGGACGCCGGCGGAGGGATTCTGGATTGCAGCTGACTTGCTCCCAGATTCATCGTATTACGCATAAATACCTCCAGTACTGTATGTGCATGGGGCTACTATAAAGGCGGGGAGATGAAATGTTGACCAAAGATGGAAAGGATTTCGTACGACACACTTCAAGGGGTGAGAATCAGGCACGGTACAACGGCGTATTGACGTCGTCTACATGCGGCTAAGCAGAGCATGGCCGTAGCGCATGTCTTGCGTGCTTACATCACTACTTCAATGTGAGACTCGTATATAGCGTCAAGCGGCTGAGAGAGCCACCCACGCGTCGCCAGTGGTGTGTGATGGCGGAGTACCCTGTCTACGTTAATTTGCGAACAGGTCATGTGCATCGCACTCGCATTGGAAATAGAAAACGTCGTCAGGGAGCTCGACCACACGCCAGGACGGAAAAAACGGTATGAATAATAGCAGCTCGCACTGCTGTCAGCGTCAGCTTATGGCAAGGTCGAAGCCGTTCTCCTGCTCCAGCCACAAAACGGCTACGATACAGTAGCATGTCGTGCCGTTTCCAACGGCGACACTACAAAGGCAACATAGCAGACAATCGTATGAGGCGTTTCTGCTGCAAGGCGATGGGAAGTGGCGTTGACTTCGACACGCGGAAGAACTGCATTATGCACCACCTGACAGTAGCAATACATCGTCAATTTAGATCAGCGCTACGAGAATAGCTAGGGAGAACAACATGTAGAAACGTCTCTGCTCACCACATCTGTCAGGCAATCGAGAGCTCCGGCTGAAGTCGCCGTGAAGCCTATCGCCACGCATACGTGCGCTACCGCCTGTGCCACCCAAGGACCAAAAGAGCAGCGGCGGTGTGGAGGGGAATCGGGGCAAAACGATATTGTAGACACACCCAAGAGATGTTACGAGGAATTAGCATATACGTCGAACTTGAACACTTTGAACCATCTCACCCACGTTTGATAACTGTTCGACAATATACGACACGGGTTGTTTCGAAAGTAGATAGATTTGCCAGAGATGTGCGTCCAGAGAGAGAAATAGCGAGAGAGAGAGAGAGAGAGGTCTTGAAACCGGATTATGATGTACCGCTCAGGAGGACACGCGAATCTAAACATCACGTTGCATGCATCGGAAGAAAAGTCCATGTGTCGCACACACACGCGATGTTGCGTGCACACCAAGCGGTTGAATAATATGAGGCTTCAACACAACTCTCACTATAATAGATATGTTACACAGCCGTTCCTCCCCCCCATTCTGACAAATAGCTCCTGACCGCGGTTTGGAGAATGTACAAGGAACATACCTCTCCGCTTATCCGTGTTGTTACTGTTGTGTAAGTAAATTTAGAGATTTGACCCCCAAAACCTTCGGAATGCAAGCGAGCGGACTAACCCCCCCCCCGTCCCCCCTTAAGAGAGACGCCTGAACAGTACGCGCAGCCGCACATCAACAACAGGCTCGAAAGATCCTCTTAATGCTTGTACATGGGAGACTGCTGGTAATGAAGTAAGCATACCGAAAGCAGGGAGGTGATACTCGACGGCTACAGCAGCAAATAGTACTTCCAAGTATCCGCTAACAACAAACGTACGGGGCAGTATAATAGTAGTCTACAACCAAGATGTTCGTGAGAGGAAATGTTCAAATCCGATCGATCCATTGGTGGGACCAAGAAGGGTACGTCGCGAACACGTAGGGCAACAGCGTCGGCACCTCTCTCCAAACCTTGACCTATGGAAGGGATTTTCCCATATCATGCATGGTGCCCAGCCGTGCTAACGGAAGGGAGTGTAGCCATGTTGGCGCAATGTTGTTACCTCTCAGTACACGTTGTTTCAGAGGGTCCGCGGCAGGTATGGAAGACTCCTTCAAAAGCGTTTCGCTCAGAGCGTGCTACGCAAAAACGCGGGCTACCTTGGCCTTGCCACCGATGCGGTGCTTTAGTTTGGCGGTCGGAGCCGGATTTTAGCTCGCTGCTGACACGTGGCGTGGGCCACCTGCCTGCCTATCGCAAGGTGTGCCCGTCTGCTGCCGCCCTCAACGCTTGGACCCATGCCACACCCCCAGCCGGACTTTCCAACTTTGCCGACCGTATCGTGCACTCGACAAAGACGGTTCCGGCGCGCAATCATGGGACCCCGAAACCTACCTGCTTGGTGAGAATTCTCGCGAACTCCGCGCTGTCCACCTCCCCCTCATCCTTGGAATTCGTCATGGTCGAGCACGCGACCTGGCATCGCCCGCAATAAGCTCGTCGAGGGGGCATCGCAGCCTGGAGAGTTTTCGGGAATACAGGTTAGGGACCCACCCCAGGGGGCACCGCGGTAGAAGTGTACTAGGAGTGTACCAGCTGCAGCGGCAGCGCAGGAGCGCAGGACACAGGAACGGCGACCTGCCTCGCCTGACTCGTGCACCCAGCGTGCCAACCAGTTCCCTCATCGGGGTTTACTCTCCGCTCGATTTGTCTCCTGCGTGCGCGCTTGTGTGTGTGCATAGTACTGTAGCGGCCTGCACGATTCTTTTCCGATCAGGGAGAGGTACCGAAGTAACCTGCCGCAGATTGTTATCGCTGGATTTCTGAGAGAGAAACCATGGACCGTTTCGCGAGCATGCACGACGAAGACATCGACAAGCTGGGAATCCCGAACCAAGTGAGTCACGACAACCTTCCCATGTTCATCTCCGCGATAGGATCGCCTCGTAACAAATTTGAAATGGGAGGATTGTTTGCAGTCGGCTTGCTGAGCGAAGCGACAATCAACGGGCATCGAAATCAACGAGATGCGATCACCGGAATGTCACCGTTTCACACCAAAGCATTGCCTTAGCACATCCATTGTATTGAACCATCCATAAGTTGATCAACGAGTGGCATGCTCATGCAGGAGTATCATACATCTGATTTTCTCCTCCGAAAGACGACCCTCTGCTCAAACATTCGCGGTATCTTTTAAAGCAGTGTAGTCTCGCAGATCAATGAAGCTATTTAGTCATGGTACTGTACTTCGGTAGTCACACCCTCCCCGCGCGAAGCACCCGTAGTTTCTGTTCTTGTGTGGGGGGATCATTCGTAAAGGGTTGTCATGTTGAAAGGAGCTAGTAGGCGCCTATCCTCTTCCTCTCCACAACGACACGTTGTAGGAGTTGTCATGTTCAATAGGCGGAACAACTTTGTGATTGCACCGCTTTTTCGTGCCCTTCTCCCGCAAAGCCCGCTTCCCGAACAGCGACACCGAAATACGGCCTTACGACAAACACAAACGAAGTGTAAGATTTCGTATCATGAGCCGAGACGAAAGCACGACGAACGCGATCCACAGGCGACCTCTGTACGGCTGGCCATCGTTCAAAAATTTCTTGTCCAGCGGGCGCTCTCTCCTCCAGCCTCCCAACCCCTTTCCCAACACAACTGCGTCCCCTCTTGCGGACGGCGGTCCGCCCGCCCTCTTAAACGTCCTCGTGTGCCGACGTGCTGTCGGCTAAGCCGTCCCTTCATCTGTACCAGCGGTTGGACGCTTGTTTTGCAAGCTTTGCAGTCCGCCAAACGAGGCCTGAATGCTCAGGTGGGCGTGCTGGTAGGAGGACGGGGTGCGAGAAGGAGTGCTTTGCCACGACAGCAGTCCTCTGTATGCAATGCCATCGTGACGCGGGGTGTGTTAGAACCCTCCTATCTCTGACCAACCATTTCCTTAATATGTGTATCCCACGGCCGCTCCGCTGCTTTCGCTAGGGAGGTGCGCGAGGCGGCGGGGGAGAGGGTGGCTGGAAAGGCCGGAAACGCGCGAGAGAGCTGTCCCAGCTGAAGGACAGGCTGGACAGGGCCTCCGAGAAGGAGCAGCAGTCTTGGGACCTCCTGAAGCAGGCCGTGGGTAAGGGGGGAGGCGCGGCAGCCGACGAGGGGCGCTTCAAGGCCACAGGCACCAACCGGGCAGCAGAGGAGATGCGGGTGGGCTATGCATTTTCAATCTCCTCGTTTTAGTGCGGCCGATGATCGGCTTGCTGTGAAGCGTGTTTTGTTTCCGGCTTTCTCCCTCCTTGTGTAGAGACGAGGACCGCTTGGAGACCACTACCCAGGTGGCGAAGCGACGCAAGGCCATGTACCCTCAGTACGTCGGTGTTCTGTGAATCGCCCCAGATGAAATATCACGGGCGGCTCCAGGCACGGTATCCCCAGTACTCTGTTGTTCAGTGCGTGTCCAGGGATTCAAGTCCCCCCTTGTTCGGGCCGAAGCTGCGATCCTGCGCGAATCACCTAGGTTGTTCGACGGCATCCCATCATTCGAGAGCATGAGAAGGTTGTTGTCATTCTTCCCAGGTCGATCGTGTATCGTGCGCGCATCATAGCGCCTGCGTTGTAGTCCTATTCGACGGAACAACCAATGGCGGTGGTTTCACTCCCGATGTTTGTTGCGGGCCGATTGTTGCAATTTTGAAGTCTCCGCTGAGCGTGGGTTGTGAGAGCGTGTTCAGACTTAACCGACACCGTGCCCCCGCCTGGCCGTGAGAACTATGGTGCTCTCTCGCCCAATGGTGCGCATGAATGATTCACGTGCGTTTTTGTTTGATTGGCAGGAACGGACGGTCGGACTGGTAACGGCGGAGGAGTTCCGCAAGGCGAGGGAGGCCGCCGACTCTTTGGAGGAGGCGGAGGCGAAGCGAAGACAAGAGGAGGAGGTGCGCACGCACAGGCCGGGCGTCAATGGTCCCTGCGACAGGCCCGTGCGCTACACTTAGCTCGTGATCGTGATCACGACCACGACCCAGTCGTCGGGACATTGTTGCTTCGAGGTTGCCTTCGGCGTGCATGCCAGATTTATTTATCCTTCTTGTGGAGGTGCAGGCTACATGTAGCGCGAAGGCGGCTGGCTAAACTTACGTTGCGCTCGGATAAGCACTCTCACGGGGTTTTGAGTCCAACTCGTGGGAGGGCGGACAGAGTAACGACCTCCCTGGCACCAGTGTCACAATCATCTGGGTTGGATATGTGCTCAGAACCGCCTGTCGTACTGTGGTGCGACTTCAATCGAGAGCTGTTATGTTTCGTTGTTTTTGTGTAGTCATTGTTTTCTAACCCGTTTCATTCTTCGTCGCCTTGCTCTCGCCACCCTACTATAGCGATGGCAATATGTTTGCAAGACTCACCTTTGTCATGGTGGGGAGTTGTGGACGCAAGGAGGCGTGCTCCGGACGTGGCGGGCTAATTACCAAACATGTATTTCATGGCAAACCCCGTGACCGCGCAAACTTTGTAGGTTTATCTACTTTCGCACGGCGGTGAGGGTGGCTACAATCTCGTCCAAGTTTTTGTTGGTTCGCGTAGATGTCGCATGACGATTAGAGACTGATGTGCATGTGTCCGTGAACAAGACTGTTTTTCTACGTAGGAGACTTGTGGGCTAGAGATGGCGGACGGACGGTTTCAAACGATCCCCGTTGCGGCTGAAACGCGCAGGCGGCAGCGGAGGAGGCGAGGGAGACGGCGCGAAAAACGGCCCAGCGAAAGAAGAGAAAATCCGAAGCCAAGAAGAAACGCCTCCAGAAGAGCAAGATGAGCTTTGCATTGGAGGAGGACGAGGAGGAGGAGGTGAGCCACACACCGCCAGCGTGGGGGTGGCCAATCAGCAGTGGGGACAAGGGTTGAGGGTGGTGCTGTACCAGAGGGGTGTCGGTTGGCTGAAGTTAGTTTTTTTTATATGTATTTG